ACAACTCCTTAGTTCAGTCAACTGTATGTTTTTTGTACACAGTCCATTGATCATTGGTTCTCAAAAGAGATTCACAACTGTCATAAATTTGTTCTCTTTAAGGGATTTTGTGAAGGCACACACATGTTCCAGTAATTGTACGGCCTCCATTGACGGTTTTTGGCTCTGCATTGTTGTAGATGTAACAACAGAACGTGTTTGCCTGCTCAAGGAACTCTGAATCCAGTTCTTTCTCGGACAGTTCCTCCATTCTTCTCATGTTTTGTGTGCTAGCAGGCCGAGAGAACACAAAGCACTTCCTCACCGCAAAGAAATGGCGCAGACAGCGGCGGGGCAGGTTGTACTGCTCAGTCTGAGGTGAGCTACCTAAAATAAGATAATTATGGAATCATAATATATATTGAATATATTATGAGTGCTAATTTACTGTACGCAACGGACACTTTTATGTTATACCTAAAACTGTTAAAGGTGCTGTTAAATGTTATAATACATTTTCCTATCCTATTTTAAGTTTTAGTAGGTCATTTGTAGGTTGATTGGCAGTTATGAACTTTCAACATTGCTGTTTTCTTTTAGCAACCCATCTATCAGCATTGGCTCAACTCCATTAACTTGAATTGAGAAATCAGTTTTTCCAAACAAACCAAAGATACAATGTCTTGAAAGCTTGTTCAGAGACAGCCATCATTTCTGCAATTATGACTAGTGACTTTTTGATGTTTTTCAACAAGACAAAAATCTTCAGTGATGGCATTTATGCTTGTTAGTAAAAGAGTATGTCCTGTATGTGTTCAAAATCAACTCTTTATCTCACCTGATTTGAGTTTCAATGCGCCCTCCAGATACTCATCTGATGTTATTAGTTTATCCCCCCTTTTCAGTTCCAAAGTAAAGTCACGAACAGCCCAGGCAAATGATGGAAAAACACGCATGAAATCTGCAGAACCGTCCTCGTCTTGACCCACTTCTGCCTTCACACGAATGTTCTCTGTCAGCTCTGTAACGTAGCTACATTCAGCACTGTTCAGGAGGAATAACACTGGTGCCATTTATTAACTGTGTTTATTAACCGTTAACTCTGAATACATCATATATGTGTGTGAGAAGGATACTGCAGCTTTTCCAGTGCCGTGTTGTCAATGACCCCTAAACTGTTGTACACTATAGTACTGCTGAGAAGAATCGCCAGACAGAAGATCCATGTGTCATGTTTCTCATCCCCCTGAAATATCAAAAGTATGTGAGCACCAGTAAGTGGCCACTTATTTACATTTAGTAGCAAAGGCCATCCAGTTTAGAACTGATATGTAAAGATCTAATAATTCTGTGCAGTGAATCTTCTCATCTAGAGATGGTAGATTTTTTTGCTATGTAGAGATAACATTGCTATGGATGCTTTGTGGGTTTCCTTCCCCCTCACCTTCTCCACGTCACCAAGTCCCTCTGTGTCCAGCAGCACCAGAGTGTGTCCTTCTTTACAGGGGTGCGGGACACACCACATCCAGATGCCTTTGGTCTTTGATTTATGGAAGCCCGTTTCCGCCACTAAATAAAAATATATAATTCTGTAAGTCATAATAATGAGAAACTTTCTCAAAATGATGATTTAGTATCTCGTTATAATGAGAAACTTTCTCGTAATAATGACTTATTTTCTCATAATAACGACTTAGTTTCTCGTTATAATGAGAAACTTTCTCGTAATAATGACTTAGTATCTCGTTATAATGAGAAACTTTCTCGTGATAATGACTTAACCTAATCCAAAAAAAAAAAAAAGACTTACTCGACGCCTGCGGAACGCAAGAGTGACAGCACGCTAGCGCCATCTGTTGGTCAAAGCCATGCAGGAACACCGCTAACATTGCTTTGTTCTGTAATCTAAAGTGTATCATGCTATAGTCTGTCATTAAATAACGATTTCAGATCAATGATCTGTATGTAGTCTTTTGTGTAATAGTTACTCTGCCAGATAGTTATGGCTTCAAACATTCCAGACCAATATTTCAGTTAAGAAATCCAGGCATTTTATGAAGAAATGAAAGCCATTACACATATAAACTTAATTTATAGAGTAAACATATATAATCTTTATGTGTATATATCTTTTGTCTTTATGTGTAAAACATTTTGTAATGAGGAAAACATTTACAGAGTACACATATAATTAAAACTTTTTTCTTCATTAACATCTCAGGACAGCTATACCATATTTACTTTATGCCCCACAAAAAAAAATTTCAGGTATCTTTTCAGTAAATTATTTTTTGGACACAAAATGAGCATAGACCCTTCATTAATATTTTACCTTTTACTTTATTATTAATTTATATTTATTGTTTACATGAATGAAATTATCTCATTTTAGTGAAGTCACCATGTTGCACATAATATCGTGTCAGCCTTTTCTCTCACCGGACTGTTGTCCTGCCAGGCGGTTCATTAGGTAAGACTTCCCCGTACGGTAGAGTCCCACCACAGACACCACCACCACCGGCTCATTGATCCCATCCAGAATGTCTTTGGCCTCTTTTCTCAAGAGCAGCTTCCCATTTTCATCGTTTTCAATGAGACACACCGGAGCGGCCATGAGTCCGCCACACGCCATGACTCTGCAAAAGAAAACAACAACAAAGGCATTAGCCAGTAATTTCATAATTACACACAGAAACAAAAACAAAAACATATATAAAATAAAAATTAAACTTAAATTTGAATACATAACTGAAAGGCATGTAGAAAAAGAAGCTGTTTATAGCCTACCGTTAGCAAAGCGATTTGTTTGAACAGACGAAACCGTCCTTAAATTCAGAACCGCACAAACCCGATCTTCCGAGGCTGCTTCCGTCTTAAATGTGTGTCTTTGTTCATAAGTAATTAGCCAGACACGCACTCTCACGGATGCTGCCGCGAGTGAAAGTGAAAGTATGCTGGTTCAATTCGCTGAGACAACGGCTGCAGCCAGCGGCTTCCCAGAAATCACCCGTTTAACATAAACAGCTAAACATAGACTCTGGGTTCAGGTGACTAGACGTCCCCGTTTTCAGGGAGTGGTGTGCTGTCCCCGTTTTACAGCACGTTAAAAACAACAGGCAAATAAAAGTAAAACCCGAGCAGCCAGCTGGCAATCGTATGATTGTGATCATTTTAACCAGCAGAGGGCGCTGCGAGCTATACTTGTTGGTCACGCACAGAAAGTGCATACATTGTGGTCAAAATGAGCCTAACATACAAAATAAACTAGATTAAAGAATAGAAAAGATTAATTTCCAAAAGCATAAACATAAAATGTGAAAAGTTGTAATTACTTTACTCAGTTTGTTAAATGTTACAGTTTGAAAAATATTAATCATAGGGCCTATTTGTTTTATATATCTAAATATTTTAATATTTGTTTTCATATTTTCTCATATTTATTGTTTTACTTTTAATGTGTTTTTGCAAAGCTTTTATGTATTATGTATTATAATTTTGTTATAATAGGCCTACTGTTGTAAGGGTAAATAGCTAGCCTATATATCAGCAGTGAGTTGAAGTCGGTGTTCCTGTTCTAAAATTTGATTTACGTAATTCAATGAGTTCATTGTGTTTTCTGTTTGGCTGAAGTTCAAGTGGAACCTGTGTTCCTTTTATTAAACTTAATTTAGGCTACTTCATAGGTACCTGTGGTGATTAAAGAAAACTGTTCACGAGCACGTTTATAAGCCTACCGTTAGCAAAGCGATTTGTTTTAACAGCAGAAAGCGTAGCCTACCGTTCTTAAATTCAGAGCCGCACAAACTCGATCGTCCGAGGCTCCTCCCGTCTTAAGTGCGTTATTCTTGATCCATCATGAGTCATTCACCAGACACGCTCTCACACTGCTGCTGGCAAGAGTGAAAGTGAAAGTAAGCTGGTTCAGTTCGCTCGAGACAACAGCTAACAGTTACATGGGCTTCCCAGAAATCACCCGTTTAACATAAACAGCTAAACATAGGCTCTGGGTGCCACCAGTGTCGGACACATAAATACCCCAGTTTAGGCCCCCCGAGCAGAGGCGTCATATGTCCATTCAAACCGAGAGGGCACGTGCCGCTTAGATTTTTGACCCAAGTGAATTTTGAATGCAGCTTCCAAAAGACAAAAAAATTGACTAATAATATTTTTACATTTGATACGATCACACCGGTGTGATTACCATGCTGCTCAATTCAAATCTAAGACTCAATTCAGACCTGAGACTCGAACCCACGACATTCGGGTTACATATATATATATATATATATATATATGTAGAGAGTTCAGAGAGTTCCTCAGGGGCATGTAAAAAAGGGGCAATGTAAAAAAATTATAGGTCAAAAGTTAGTATATATACATGCAGAGAGTTCAGAGAGTTCAAAGAGTTCCTCAGGGGCATGTAAAAAAGGGGCAATGTAAAAAAAATTATAGGTCAAAAGTTAGGATACATTACTATTTTATATTTTTGCAAGAAGTCACTTATGGTCACCAAGCCTGCATTTATTTGATCAAAATCCTAATATAGGCTACTTTAGAATACATTTTATGCAATGCTGATTTAGGCTATTATCAATGTTGAAAACCTGTGATACTTTTTGGGGTTCATTGATAAATGAAAAGTTAAAAAAGAACAGCATTTATTTAAAATATAACTTTTGTAAGAATATACACTACCGTTCAAAAGTTTGAGGTCAGTATTTTTTTTTAAAGAAATTAGTTTTTATTCAGCAAGGATTTGTTAAATTGATAGAAACAGTGATAGTAATGTGCAAAAGCCTGAAGAGGAGATTTACTGGAAATCATGATGCTTGCAGAATTGACTTGAAAGTCAGCCAGTGGCGGTTCTGGGTGAGTAGATATCAGGGGCTTACCCCAGATAATAATTAGCCCGTTACTAAAACTATATATATATTTGTTGTGCTTGTGTGTGCATGCTTGGGTTGTGTGTGTGTGTGTGTGTTTAATAAGTATATCTGTGTATTCTGACTCATCATACATGCATGTCTGGGCTAAGCCCCATAGATATAGACGGAGCTGACCACCACAACCCTTCAGTATTTATGCACGAGCTTCAGTCAGAACCATCAGAAGGCAAGCAGAGGTAAGATCTATTTTTTTCTCCTCTTTAAATTACTTTAGCAGACATTAGAATTAAAATCTCTTAAAACACATAATCATACAGTCCAAAGCAGTAATTCAAGTGTTTGTAATGTTTCCATATTTCAAGATTGTTTTTCTTATTTAAGTGAAATCTTTGAATCTACTGAAAGCAGTCAAATCTATGCAAAAGTACCCCAAAAAATGTTTACTGGGACTTTCAGATACCAAAACACCCATCATTCTCTTTAGTTTATTTGAGTGGATCTTGTTTTATTATCTTGATCTTGTTTTGTGATCTTTATTATTAAACATTTTATAATAACGTTTGCAGTAATTCAAGTGTTTGTAATCTGTTTCCATATTTCAAGATTGTTTTTCTTATTTAAGTGAAATCTTTGAATCTACTGAAAGCAGTCAAATCTATGCAAAAGTACCCCAAAAAATGTTTACTGGGACTTTCAGATACCAAAACACCCATCATTCTCTTTAGTTTATTTGAGTGGATCTTGTTTTATTATCTTGATCTTGTTTTGTGATCTTTATTATTAAACATTTTATAATAACGTTCAGCTGTAAGTCACTTATAAGTGGTTAGTTAATGATGAACTAATCATTTACAAAACATAACTACTTGTGTTCATAAATTATTATGCTATGTTATGTGATATGTTAATATTTTGTATCTATGTTTTGTAGCAAGTGTAACAGTGTAAACTACTCATCAGTTGTAAATGTTTTTTTCTTACACCCCAGTGTGTACACACACACAACCTGTAACCGGCAGGTTTGTAAAACATTTACAACTGATGAGTATTTTACACTTTAGTTTAGGGGATGCAGAAAGTGTTGTAAATACAGATCCTTTGTAACAGGTAAGAAAGATCTACAAATGATTTGTAACACATTTACAAGTGATGAGTAGTTTACACTTTAGATTAGGTGATGCAGAAAGCTTTGTAAATGATTTATTCATGCGTTTACACAACAGGTTTTGAATTCTTTGTAGTGTGTACTGCAGTGTAAGGGCTGACAGGTGAGGGTGTAGACAGATGTCTTCTCTGACACATGGAGTATTTTAACACTGTGCACTTGAGTGGAGGGTAAAACTGGTTCACATTATCACTAGTTCCCACTCACTCCACACAGAACACAAGTCTGTGCTGATGAGAGAAATGGTTTAACACAACCCACTGGAATCCCCCGACTGTAAGCCATTTAGAAATGTTTATTCACTTGACAGCAAATAATTTATTATGCTTTAAAAAAATAGTTTTATCATAATTGCATTTTTGGGCTTTTCAACAGCTACAACTTTAACGAAACAAACATAAATTATATACTGATAATTTACTAATGGTTTAATCATCATTTGTTCATGATTAAAACATGTTTTTGAGATAATAGTACATTGTTGACATTTCAATGATTTATAAGTGATTAATAATATATTAACTAGTAACTATACTGAAAAAAATTATTCACTGAATTTACTAAAAAAATGTTAAGATAAGTGGTTGCAATCAATTTATTTTAGCTACATTTAAATAAACAAATTTAGTTGACTAACGTTCAACATTTTTTAAAATTTAAATGTAGCTCAAATAAATGATTTGCAACCACTTACCTTACAAAAATGTAGTATCACTTTTTTCAGTGATATTAACCTTTTACTAAGGATCTGTTTGATTATTTCATGATGCTATTTTTTAAAGATAACTTACGACAGATTAGTAAATCGTTAGCATATTACTTATTAATCATTTGTGAACGTATAGTTGTTTTGTAAATTATTAGATAATCATCATCTAATCACTTGTAAATTATAACTTAATCTACAAAACATAGAAAAAAATATTAATATATCACTTATTAATCATATATGAATGCATAGTCATGTTTTGTAAATGATTAGTTCATCATTAAATAATTACTTGAAAATGACTTTCAACTGAACATTATTATAAAGTGTTACCCTGATGGAGCGGTTGTTTTTCAGCGTGAACTGAATCTTAAAACATTTTCACTTTCGATTCCTGCATTATGGATAGGCCAGGGAGAGTGCATTTTTCCCCAGTCCGTACCTTGCATAGAGCAGAGGATAAGAAGCTTATAGGCAGAAGAAGTGTTTAGCTGTCTCTCTTTAACTGTATGTAGGTGCAGTGTATGTTTACGCAGGCTTAAAGATTTTCAATATTTTTCCATTAACTGCAGCAAATTTAGAAACATTCCACATGGACTTTACCTGCCTCTAAATAAGGTAATCGATAATAATTAATTATCACTTGACAAAGAGTTGTAATACCATGATGCAGATCAGCCTAGCTGCAGTGCTGAAACTCAGACTCAAACTGTCTCAATGTATGGCACACTGTACAGTAAGTCTGTTTAATTTTGTGTGTATGGTTTTTACTTAGGATCATGTCTTGTAGTAAATACATGCCAGCTCCAGTGTGTCTCATTGAAAACGATGAAAATGGGAAGCTACACATGAAGAAAGAGGCCAAAGCCATTCTGGATGGGATCAATGAGCCGGTGGTGGTGGTGTCTGTGGTGGGACTCTACCGTACGGGGAAGTCTTACCTAATGAACCGCCTGGCAGGACAACAGTCAGGTGAGAGAAAAATGTTGATATGTTGATATGATAATGAGAACATAGAAGCTGAATGTGTGTACATCTGTCAATATCTGAAAACAGTAACTGCATAATAATAATGCGATTGTCTCAGGCTTTGCTCTCGGCAGCACTATTGAATCAAAGACCAAAGGCATCTGGATGTGGTGTGTCCGTCACCCTAATAAAAAAGGACACACTCTGGTGCTGCTGGACACAGAGGGACTTGGTGACGTGGCGAAAGTGAGCACAGTCACTACTCACTAACTACTACTAATAATTTCCCAGTCTCAGTTTGCCATAGTACCTCAGAATGAACAGTATTAAGTTGTATTGTGTTTTGAATGAAGTTGCTTTGATCTGAAGACACTCTGTTTCAGGGAGACTCTAAGAATGACGGCTGGATCTTCTGTCTGGCTGTTCTGCTCAGCAGCACATTGGTGTACAACAGCCGCGGCACACCCTGATGGAGCGGTTGTTTTTCAGCGTGAACTGAATCTTAAAACATTTTCACTTTCGATTCCTGCATTATGGATAGGCCAGGGAGAGTGCATTTTTCCCCAGTCCGTACCTTGCATAGAGCAGAGGATAAGAAGCTTATAGGCAGAAGAAGTGTTTAGCTGTCTCTCTTTAACTGTATGTAGGTGCAGTGTATGTTTACGCAGGCTTAAAGATTTTCAATATTTTTCCATTAACTGCAGCAAATTTAGAAACATTCCACATGGACTTTACCTGCCTCTAAATAAGGTAATCGATAATAATTAATTATCACTTGACAAAGAGTTGTAATACCATGATGCAGATCAGCCTAGCTGCAGTGCTGAAACTCAGACTCAAACTGTCTCAATGTATGGCACACTGTACAGTAAGTCTGTTTAATTTTGTGTGTATGGTTTTTACTTAGGATCATGTCTTGTAGTAAATACATGCCAGCTCCAGTGTGTCTCATTGAAAACGATGAAAATGGGAAGCTACACATGAAGAAAGAGGCCAAAGCCATTCTGGATGGGATCAATGAGCCGGTGGTGGTGGTGTCTGTGGTGGGACTCTACCGTACGGGGAAGTCTTACCTAATGAACCGCCTGGCAGGACAACAGTCAGGTGAGAGAAAAATGTTGATATGTTGATATGATAATGAGAACATAGAAGCTGAATGTGTGTACATCTGTCAATATCTGAAAACAGTAACTGCATAATAATAATGCGATTGTCTCAGGCTTTGCTCTCGGCAGCACTATTGAATCAAAGACCAAAGGCATCTGGATGTGGTGTGTCCGTCACCCTAATAAAAAAGGACACACTCTGGTGCTGCTGGACACAGAGGGACTTGGTGACGTGGCGAAAGTGAGCACAGTCACTACTCACTAACTACTACTAATAATTTCCCAGTCTCAGTTTGCCATAGTACCTCAGAATGAACAGTATTAAGTTGTATTGTGTTTTGAATGAAGTTGCTTTGATCTGAAGACACTCTGTTTCAGGGAGACTCTAAGAATGACGGCTGGATCTTCTGTCTGGCTGTTCTGCTCAGCAGCACATTGGTGTACAACAGCCGCGGCACTATCGATAACACTGCATTGGAAAAGCTGCAGTATCCTTTAACCTGCCACACAACCCACTTCCTCTTTCACATATACAAACGTACACTTTACAAGATGCTGTTATTTCTTAATGTGCTGCAGCTATGTTGCTGAGCTCGCTGAGAATATCAAGATCAGGTCAACAGAAGCAGAAGATGAGGAAGATTCTGAGTTTGTGATGTTTTTCCCATCATTCACCTGGGTTGTGAGAGATTTCACCTTGGATTTGGAAATTGATGGGAAAAAAGTGACAGATGACGATTACCTTGAATTTGCCCTCAATCTGAAGAAAGGTATTTTAGACAGAAGTACACTGACACATTTCGCAGATGCTTTTTTCCCCCCAAACAAACTTACATTCAAGTACATTATCAGTTCTTGGTTCCCCTGGGAATCGAACCCATGATCTTGGCATTGATTCAGTTCTTTTCTGGAGCAGAATTTGAATTTAAAATACATTGATATCATATGACCCATGATATCCGTTCTGTGAGGTTTTTGACATAACTGCTGATGCCTGCAATCTAGACTACATACTAAACTGGTACGATACAGATGTTACTGATACTACAATACACACAATACATGCATCAGCTGTACGCATTTGTGCAAATGAATGATACCTGAAAAACTGAAATATGCTGACTGTCTTAGTGCCACTGATTTGGTGAATATTTCTTTCTCTTTCTTGAATGTTCTCTTTTTAGGTGTGGGTAGGAAAATTAGTGACTACAATCTGCCTCGTGAATGTATCAAGCGTTACTTCCCTAGCCGGAAGTGTTTTGTGTTTCCGTTTCCCGTTACCTCCCAGGAAGACATGACACGCCTGGAGATCTTACAAGACCAGGACCTTGCACAACGATTTCTGGAGGTCACAGGGAATTTCTGTGACCATATGCTTGTTAACAGTGCCGTGAAAAGACTGAAAGGAGGACACATAGTTACTGGCCAATGTGAGTGTTCTACCAAATGAAAAGTTTCATTAATTTCAATGTTTAAACACATTTCAGATACAGTATAAGCTTTGCATAATCACACAAATAAATAAACGAATTAAACATTTATTTTGTTAAACTCTTCATCTGTGGTTTGAAGATACTATGGAGCATCTCTTAACTGTTTGTGTGTGTTGTCAGTGCTCGGGCGTCTGGTTGAGATTTATGTAGACACAATCAACAGTGGTGAAGTGCCCTGTTTGGACAATGCAGTGGTTGTTCTGGCAAATCTAGAAAACCAGGCAGCTGTTCAAGAAGCTTTGAAAGTATATCAGAGAGGAATGGAAGAGGTGAGGCATGCGCTCTCACTGTACGTCTCTTTGTGTCTCTGTACAGATTAATAATCCCATCCAAATATTTTGAATATGTCTCCAAAATCAGAACCACCCATTTTGACGTGAAAATATTAAATGAATGCACAAATACCCTTCAAGTAAACACACACTATGTTTTTACAGGTAAAGAATACGTTACCAATCAGTATAGAATATTTGACCTGTGAGCACCAGAAATTCAGCAGTCTGGGCATTTCTGAGTTCACAAAACGCTCATTCAAAGATGAAAATATGGAATACCTGAAAAAACTGGAGGTGAGTTAAAATGTATAAGATCGACTCATACTTGTACACTCATGCATGCATCCTATCTTATATGTAACTGGGAGATTAATGCCATTGGAATGAATGGGATTAGTAGCTTTCTGCAAGTATTATTTTACTGGATGTGTCAGGTTAGAGATTATTTCATGTGTTGTCTGGTGACCACATAAATTACATCCATGAGATTAATACAACTAATTCACAAAACAATGTATACAAACACAATTTTCTAATACTTTCAGTCTTTGTGTAAGTTTATTTATGTAGGTTTGAGATTTATATCTGCTTTTAATGCGTTTATAGGAAGCTGTATATATGTGCTATGCAGACTTGCTGGAACAGAATCAGATGGCATCAGAGAGAAAGTGCAGAGATTTGCTGAAGGATCTGTTTGCTGACATGAATAAATGGCTGCAGGATGGAGAATACAGTCAGTCTGGAGGATATGAACTCTATAAAAGAGACAGAGACGCCATTGTTGAACAGTACCGCAGAGAACCCAATAAAGGTGTAAGGGTAAGGACACTTTCAGTGTCTATTTGTGAGTGTATGTGACTCAAGTGCATCTAAACTATAAGGCTCTCTTTATATCTGGCATTAACATATGTTTTGTATATGCAAAGTATCTGTATTTTTTACCCCAGGTTTCACAAAAGTGCAATGTCTATTGCCCATTTCACATTGCAAAATCAGAAAAAAAATCCATAAAAGTGATGTATATGATTATTAGCTGTGTAACCTCATTTAATATAACCATTTTGTGGTTAATGAAAGCACATTTGCATTTACACTTTAATTGTGTTCACAATCCAATCTAGCATTACCCCAGGACTTGATTTAAGAACCACTGGTCTAAGTTATGTTTATGTGCAGGCTGAGGCTGTGCTGGAAGAGTTTCTGAAAGAACGGGAACCCGAAGCAAACAGCATCCTTTGCATGGATAATAAACTCACTGAAAATGAGAAACAAATGAAAAGTACGTTTATATTAGGCTTTTTTGAAGCACAGGATGTAGGCATCTTAAACACTTAAATCTGAATTACTTAGAGTTGAAGTTAATTGATCATATATCATTTCATTCTCTTTCTATCTTGACTGAATGTTCAGAAGAGAAGGAGAAAGCGACTCTGCTGGAACAGAAGTTGAAAGAGGAAGAGGAGAAACGAATTGAGAATGATCGAATGATGGAGACTGAGAATATGCGGCATGAGGACATGGTAAAACAGATGCAGGAGAAGTTCAACAAGGAGCTGGAGCAGCAGCAGCAGGAGAGGGACAGAGCCATTGAGAGCAAACTGAAGGAGCAGGAAGAGATGCTAAAGAAAGGCTTTAATCAGAAGGCTGAAAACCTTGAGGAAGAAATAAAGAAGTTAAATAATGAAAAGAAACGCTTAAGTGGAGGTAGCATTTTTAAGGACTATGTAATGCCATTTCTTCGCCCTCTTGTAGAAATGGTTCCCAACCTCCTCATGCAGAGATTAATGTTGAATAGCCTGAAAATGGGATTGAAACGTTAAAACCCAAAACTAGGGCTGTGAATCTTTTGGTAGACAGTGAAAGGATTGAATTGATTTCCTTATGAAATTAACTCTTCATGAAACCAATACTCAGGAACTCACACAAAACAGACACCATGCAATAAAACAATAAAACTTATCTGGAGAAGAAATCTTCAAAGAGAGCAAACAACGCCTCTCTCCTCGCCCATTTACGACCCCCTTCTCCCCCTGGCCTCTCTGCCTCTCCCTCTTTCCCCCCCAAAAGGTTTCACCCAAAGTTCATTAAGAATACGCATATCCCACATATCATGTATCTTGTGAACCTGTTGTTTTTCCCCTTCATGTTTAGTATCATTTTAAAGGTCTTTGTGCGATTGGTAAATTGGTTTTAATTTCAAAGTAGACGATTAACGATTCGATTCTGCATTCTTTAAGGGCATTCACAGGATTAGTTAAATGCTTCCCCTAAATTCTTTAAATACTTAGACAGGGGGCAAATTACACAGCAGCCTTTATGGTAAGAGAACCATAGGTTACCAAAAAAAACACTTTTGTTCATTGTTAGATGCTAGTTTAATAGCATATGCCATGTCATGCTATGGCACGACATGGCATATGTAGAAATGTATGTAAGCCAAGATTTAAAAAAAAAAAAAAAAAAGAGCTTTAAAAGTATTATGTATAGGCTAACATTTTGTCACACAGGGGCGTGCAGCCATCATTTCAGAAGTGACAGAAATGTATTTTTTATTATGATTTTTTTTTTTTTACAAGGAATTATTTTATTATCTCTT